AGCCCACGCCGTCGCCGGCGACTCAAGGCAGCCCAGCTCCAGGTTGAGCTGTTGTTCAGCATCTTAGCTGTAGAGGGCAGTGTCACTGGCCCTCTTTGTGGGATCCGAACCGGGGCCCTCTGGCATCCCAAGCGAGTTCTTAACCATCGCGCCACTCGGCCGGCCCAAGACAAGATTTTTACGTTTTGCTGATGTGCAGGAGTCAGCACCTCCTCGATGGTTCTCTCTTCAAATATTAAAATCAATATAAAGTCACAAGTTTTTCTCATCAGAAGAATTATCATCCATTTAAACCTATTTTCTTTTCCTTGGAAGAGTATATGTCATATAATTTATAGGATATATAATATTATTTTTTTAAAAGGATGCTTAAGAACAACCAAGCATATTTGGGATTAATTTTACCAGCTCTGTGTGTTTGGATAGTATGTACCTAAGACATAAAATTAATAGGTGACCCAGTTGCTTCATTTGAGAAAAATTTAATCCGGGTAAGAAAATTATTTGGAGCAATCTATTAAGATGTCAAATACTCTTGCCAATGTAGAGAACTTTTTAATTTAGAGCCCTGGCATGTAGGGCCCTCAGGCTGTTTCAGATGGCTCTTACACACTTTCAGACATGAGCAATAACCGCCTACAATTAGTATATTCATGAAATAAGACAGGTCGATTTCCATATACTACTGTCTTTAGAAACTGTTCTATTATTAATATACAGTCATTCTCTTGCAAATTCCTTTGTCAGCCATTGATTGCCTTTAAAAAAAAAGATTGACGATCAAGATTTACTCACATAAACTGTTCATATAAACAGAACTGTTTAAATTTATTGCAACTTCTGTATATTTGCTCCAACCACAGAACTGCAATTATAATATGCATACATCTGTGTTTTTTTCTCATCTTACAGGAATTTATACAATTATATTTTATTATTATTTTATTATCTATATGCATTTTCCAATCTTCATAATTATCTCTTCAATAGCAATACTTTATTTGATTTCACTGAGTTAATATACTTTATTAGTCATTTCCATCTTGAACATTTAGACTTTGTTTTTAGATCTGGGGGCCAATTGATAACCACACTATAAAACAGATTTTAAAATACACATACTATGGGAGGGCTATGGGATATGAGCAATTCATACTTTTGCATAATTTGATTTATTTTCTCCTAACATTCTATGGGGATTACTTCAGTGGAGAATAAAATGGAAAAAGGAAAGAGGTGACCAATTAGCTCAGTTGGTTAGCATGGTGCTGATAACACCAAGGTTGCTAGTTTGATCCCTGCATGGGCCACTGTGAGCTGAGCTCTCCCTAAAAGAGTGAACTATGCCATTGTAGCATGAAAGTGATGTGTAACCAATGACCATGGATGGTCCCCAATAAAATTTTTTTTTAAATGGAAAATGGTGGGCCAGCCGAGTGGCTCAGTTGGTTAAGAGCTCGCTCAAGAGTGCGAGCTCTGAGCAACAGCAGTTTGAGTCCCAGCCCAAGCTGAGCAGCTGCTGAGCTGCCAACAGGCGGCAGGATGGCTCAGCTAAAAAAAAAAAAAAAGGAAAAAGGAAGACATAAAGACTTTGAGTAAGAGCAGACCTAATGGTGGGTCTGGAGCTTGAGAAAAGGGAAAACGATATTCCCCTCTTATCCACAGTTTTATTTTCCATGGTTTCAGTTACTTGCGCTCAACTGTGGTTCAAAAATATTAAATGGGAAATTCCAGAAATAATTTATAAATCTTAAATTGCACACCACTCTGAGTAGCGTGAGGAAATCTTGCACCATCCCGCTCCGTCCCCCCTGGATGTGAATCATCCCTCTGTCCAGTGGATCCACACTACATATGTTACTCGCCCCTCAGGACCTGACTCGGTTTTCAGATGGACTGTTGCAGTCTCGCAATGCTTGTGTTCAAGTAACCCTGATTTTATTTAATAATGGCCTCAACGCACAAGAGTAGTCATGCTGGCAATTTCGATATGCCAAAGAGAAGCCATAAAGTGCTTCCTTTAAGTGAACATGTACGTATGTATAGGAAAAAAACAGTATATATGGGGTTCAGTACTATCTGTGGTTACAGACATCCACTGGGGGTCCTGGAATGTATCCCCCACAGATAAGGGGAGACTATTGTAACATAAAATTGGAGAGAACACAGAAAGGAATGTGAGGATGCTGAAAACAAACTCAGGACGCCCTGCGTTGTATTAGCTGTGAATTCATTTCTTATAGCAAAGATATTGAAAGAGCGCCTTCCCATCCCCAGCCCTACAAACCACCCCGGGCATCCTGGACTTGTACTGCTACTTGACTCCTGAAACATGTTTGCTGCTCTTCCTTCACCCTAGTTAGTCTAGAGGTCAAGTATCAAGGACAGGAGCAGTCATTTTCTATTTCTGGCAGGCCCTGACGCCAAAGTCTGGGTAGGATGCCCTCATATGTGTGTCTACAGCCCGTCTTCCTCCCAGATCGCATTGTATTTGCCTGTTGAGTTATCTCTGTCTTCTGGGATATTGTGCTCTCTCGTTTGTCAGCATATGCCCAGCATCTAGATTAGCTCCTGGTATATAATGTGGGCTAATCACCGTTTTTTAAAATTAATGAATAAATGAAACATAAGCCATATTTCTAGAAAAACTAGTTTGTTGGTTTTCCATAGCAGAAAATAAACCTTTTCTTCTTGACTCTGAAGACAAGCTAGCTGCCACATCTCAGTTGGGGTGCCTCTCCAGCTTTCTCATTATTCATCAATGTTTTGGGAACAACAAGAAGCTTCTTTAAGAGATAGGCAGGGGCTCAGAGGTGGGGATGGGGGTGGGGTGTGGAGGGGGTCGCTTTGGGTTATTTGAGGAAGGGAGAGTGGGAATTGGGAGGTAGGAATAGGGAAAGAATATTGGTCTTAATTATCTGGAAACACTTTAGAAATATCTCGGGATGGTGTTCCTGACCCCTTACCAGCAATTTTTAGAAAGATTTAAATGGCTTTATCATTTTTCAAATCGAAAGTTAACAGACAGACCACTGAAGAAAAACAGCTGTCCCAGCTAAGAAAAAGCCCTCTCTCTCCCCAACCAGAGGCTGTCCTTGCGGCAGTTGGAAAGGACGATGTTACATCAGACTGAAAAATGTTCCTTTTAAGCAGCTCCTTTCTTTTAAATGTAAAATGCATTTCATTTTGCCCTTATTATTTTGGTTCCCAGGTTACGCCTACTCTGTAGGAGAAAGCATAACAAAACCATAATCCAAAGCTATGCGCAAGGCCATCTTTTCTCTGATGTATCTAGGTCACTGGTAAATAGAGATATCACAAGAAGGCACTGGGAGACACCAGGGAAAAAACAGAGGAAGCAGCTAATGACTTACTGTGTTTTGAACCACATTGGTGATGGCTGACAGCATGCCCCGAGACCCTGAAGAAGGCGAGGTAGGGGGGCTTTCTGTGGGGCTCTGATCCGTGGCCGTATCTGCTACTAAAGAGAAAAACATCTTTTCAGGGTTCATTTTGCTGATCTGAACTTAGAAATCTTCTATTTGTGCACATAGTATTATATAATACAGCCCAAGTCCAAGACCCAAAATAAATACGTCACTCACTCTGGGGGATGCCATTTTCGGTGTCAGGTTGGGCCCCTTCAGAGGAGCCGGAATTTACACTATGAATCCGTAGGGTGGCCCCTGCTTTTTCCTTGACTGCTGTCAATCCATGACCTAACAGGAAATAAAAATATGGTTCATGGATACAACAGAAATCCAGGGTCTGCAAATTCTACAGCTCGTCTTCCAGAACTGTTGTTAAGGTGTAGGTGTGTATCTTGATTCTAAGAGAGCATGGTGGTGAACAGCATAGACTTGGCAATCCCTCAGATGTGGGTTCCAATTTGAGCTCAGCTTCACTACTGCCCGGCTGGGTGACCTTGGGAAAGTTACCTACCCTCCCAGTGACTCAGTTTCTTTATTGGATTGTTGTGAGGAGCAAATGAGAGAAACAATTGTAAAGTGCGCCCAGATGCTCTGTTATTCCCTTTTGCCTCTCATGCCGTTTAACCAGTAAACTGGGATTCCAAACTCAAGATATTATCTGTGACGAGGGTAACTGTCTAGCTTCTTTACTGTTTTCCAAGCTCCTCAAGGCAGAGATGCAACATTCACTTTTTGATTCCTTGTGGGCTCAGCCCATTGCAGATGCTCTCTCCATTGCTGTTTGGTGGATTTAAATCAGGTGAGCTTCAATACGCTCTTAACGTGTTAGTCATTCCTTTGGTTTAGAGAGAGGAGGGTCTGGAGTCAAAGCATCAAAAACAAAAGGCAAGTCAGTGGGAAAACCAGGAAGGGCGCCCAACAGCTGACAGATACCTTAAATAGTAAGAGTCCAAACACAAGCTCTAAGAGTAGCCAGCCAGGATGAAGGGCACAGGTTTTAATCCATCTGAGATGGGACAAAACTTCCATCCCCAGACCTAGCACAGTGAGTTATTCAGTAACTATTTCATAAAATACAGAGCTGACCTTCTCATCCTCCACCCCTGCAATACACACACACACACACACACACACACACACACACACACACACACACACACACACATACACACGCATGCACATACACATACATACACGCACACACACATACATACATGCACGCACACATGCACACACACGCATATACACATACAGCTTTACTGTAAAACTGATATATAAAGAATTGCTCATATTTAGGTTCCTCCAATTATATTTTCTGACTAACAATTCTTTTTTTCTGAAAATTTTTGTTAGTGAAAGTACATCTTTACTGCATTCTACTGGAAATATTAAGCTATGGTTTTTCATAGCTAAGGTTTACACTGTACACCACACCCTGCTTTGAGGAATAACTTCTAAAACTTTACTTAGTGTGACATCTAGTGCTCAGAACAAGGAAGTAATAATAATATGGAGTCACTGTTGCCTTTTGACTGGGAGAGATAGATTGGATTCTACCAATAATGAAGAAAAACAACAAATATGAATAGCACTATAGGGTATTAGTTCATAGATTTTCTTCACGTCATCATGAACACTAAGCATCCTCAAAGAAATTAAACTCCAAATTCCATGGATCTGAAGATGAAATACTCTCTACTCCTTGACACATTGCAATAAAAAGAAGATGAGTATTGCAAAGAAGATAAAAACATTGTATACATACTGTGAAACAGTATCATTTAAAAACAAATGTTAAATGATTCGCTGGTGTTTGATTTGTCACCTATATTCTACTGGAAAACACCCTAAACTTTGGAGTCAGGGGTTTTGTGGAGGAATTTTGGTTCCATCATTTGCTAGCTGTGTGAACTTGCTGTGTTACTTAACCTCTGTGAGTCTCTGCTGTTGTGTCTTCTCTAAAAGGAGGATTATAACATCTCCCCGCCAGTGTTCTGTAAGGTCAATGAGAAGAAATATATGAATCTTTTGGTATGGCCAACACTTACTGAGCACTTCCTATGTCCCAGGCACTGGACTAAATATTTTTAGTCCAGTTAATTATCTCATTTACTCTTCTCAACAGCCTTATGAGATAAGAGATATTATTATATTCACTTAAGAATTGAAAAAACTGAGACCTGATGACATGAAATCACTTGTCCAATGTCCCAAAGCCAACAAGTAGCAAAGGCAGGATTTGAACCTAGTCCTTCTGACCCTAAAACTCATATTCTCAATCACAGTTATATTTTAAAAGTTTTATATGCCATTTATAGTTGATTAAATGTCATTTTCGTCCCATTTATATAACTCCTTGGAAATCAGAACTTTAATTAGGAGCTTCCTCACTTTAAAATATCGGTTTATGTTAAAATTAGCTTGACTCACATTACTTTGACCAAACAGCAAGGTGACAATCACCTCTACAGTGAAACTTTGGGGCTCTAACCCCGCCCCTTTCAGCCATGCCTTGGGTTGGCACAGCTTGATGTTTTGAGGATCATCCTTGTGCTGTGCGGGCACAAATCCCAAGACACCAACCATATGGTGCTTTCTTACACCTCCAGTTTCATTTTTCTTCTCAAAATGTCCTATGATTTCACCAAGCCTCTTCTTATGGGTGCCACTAAGAGTAAAACCCTCTTGAAGGGATGTCTCCCTTCTTTCTGGAGGATGAAAATAACTTGTGGTTGGAGGAAGGGTCTCTCTGACCAAGAGGTAACTTTCTGGGTAATTTCTACTCGTCTCATATGCTAAAGGAACCCCTAGGAGAGCACCAGTTCACTCACTCAGGGAGTTCCCCCCTTTTAGATTAATTTTTAATATAACATTTCCTTCTTTTTCATTTCATTTATTTCTTTGTCTTTCTTTTAAGAAATACATATATAAAAAATAGAAACTAAAAAATTTCTCTTCTTCTAATATAACTTCTCTGATATAATGGGCTCATTTTTAAAATAAAAACATTTAAAATGTTATCAAATTCAAAGACTATGGAAGCATAGGCAACAGAAGGTAGACTAGCCTCCCTCTCTCTAGACGGCTTCCACTGACATAATAGGTAACAGTCTGTGAGCTTAAAAACGCCTACAGAAATATTTAACACCGGAAAACATGACTGGTTATAAAAGACAAAAAAGAAAATTTGCAAATTAGAAATTAATATTTTCCTAGCTGTATTCAAAATGTAATATTAGGTCAATGGGTCAGCTATTGTTTAAACAAATTCAACTCTTACATAGTTATATATAAATTATATGTTTAATAAGGAATGTGGGTGCCTTTTATATTTGCTGTGATATAACAGGGGCTTCAAAAAACAGGAGTTGGAACTCTTCAAAGCGTTAAAATGGCCATGCCTCCCCTTCCCTCCTCCCCTGCCCCATTTCCTTCTAAAGATAACAACTCTAATATTGTTTCTTGTGATTCCTTTAAGGCAGAAAAAAAAGAAAAAAAAAAAGGATAGACCTACATGTAAGTGCTCTAGATCTGGCTTTTTCTAAATCACACTACACAGTGGAGGCTTCAGCCCACAGGTAGTGGTGGAAGCTGTGTGTGCTGCCCAGGATCATGGTGCTAATTCTCTCTTCTGCTGGAAATGTCTGCTGAAAGCCTCTGTGGAAGCCTCACTTTGAAGTGCCCTTGGCCAAAGGGAACTGGTTCCCCCAAAGCTGTACTACAATGACCCATCAATGGGGGGAGTTGGTGATAGAAGCCCTGGCCCTGTGCATTCTTTGGGGATATCTCTGAAGAGTCATCCCAACCCCCAAGCTCCCTATGGGGTAGGGTAGGGCCTCTGACGCAGCTGCACTGCGGTTCAACTTCTGCTCAGCCCATCCACTTCTCAATCCTTCCCTCTCTTGCAAGGCTTGCCCCTGAGAGTACGTCCCAGTAAAACTCCAGCACACTAATCTCCGCCTCAGTCTCTCTCCTGGGCATCGGATCTAGAACACTGATCCATCTCATGCTTTTTAATGGTTGCATAGTATTATTCCACTGAATGGCTAGATCACATTTTCATATTCTCTGTGGGTGGATATTTTGATTTTTTCAAGTTTTTCCTATATGCCTGAGGAACTCCTTCAGGTCTTTGCTCAAATATCACCTTACTAAGGTCTACCCCCCACCGCCATTTTTATAACCTTAACCTGTACTCCTAATCCCTCTTATACTGCTCCACTTTATATTTTTTATAGACTTACAACTTTCTAGCCTTCTTTGTAGTTTTTCTATTCAATATGTGTATTGTTTATTGTCTATCTCCTTCCTCCAGCATGGAAGCTCCACTAGAGCACAGATCTTTGTCTTGTTTGTTCATTGCTTTATCTCAAGTGCCTAGAAGAGTACCTGGCACGAAAAACTATTTGCTGAGTGAATTCTATATTGAACATCTTTGTACATTTTTGCAAAGGATCAACAGTGGAACTTCTGGGCTAGAAGCTATGTGCATTGAAAATATTATAGGTAGTCCTATTTACTCTTCTGAAAGTTGTACCAATTTACACTTTCCTTTAGTGAATTTTCAAGAAATAGGACAATTTAAAGATATTGACTGCATTTCAGATTCTTCTATCAATGAATTCAAGATAAAAAAGTTGTGAGGAGCAGTTGTTTAGAAAAACAACAGACAATGGTTGCTGTACTCAACTAAAGCAAACGTTAATGCAGCAAAAACAGGAGCCAATTAACCTTCCTTCTGGAAAAGTCTTCCCTCTCCATGATGATGGCTGATGTACAGTCTGTAATCGGACGTCTCTTTAGGTTCAAAATTAACAAGAAGTGTTTCTGAACTGATAGTGTTTGCCTAGCTGTCAAACAAATTCATTAACCCCTAGGCCTTGTTCATAGACTACAAAGGATTGTGAACAAACTCTAAGCATTAATCCCATTATCTTTTGTATCATGATTCTTGAGAATTCTTACATCATCATCAATGTCATATGAATCCATGTGATATTGACAGTGATTTACACAGTTAACATTTCTCATTTTAGTATCATTTTGACAAGTTTGCCATTCTCGGAAATAAACACTGTCACTATTTCTGACAGTGCTGGTAGAAGGGTTTCATTAAAATGTGCTGAAGGGAAAAATGTATAACTCAGGAGAGGATGGGTAATTCAAAATGGTAATTTTGAAAAGGCAAATATACAGATCAGATGGACCTTCCCCTCCTCAGTTTCTCTGAACAGTTCAGAAGGTGTTTCGACTCATAAAACTGTCAAAACTAAAAATTTAAATAACCA